ATATTTTTTCCTTGATTTCCTCCTTCCCACCTCATCATTCCTTGCCTTCCTCCCATACGGTCTCTGGTATCCATAGTTGCTTTCCATGTCTTTATGCCTTCCACTCTTTCAGGTTCTGCTATAGAGTGCAGGCATTCAGTATATATTAGGCAGGGACATACAATGCCTCTCCTCCTTCATAGTCTGACTTGCTCTGATCAGCATTAAATCTTCCATATTCATCCACTCACCTCCTCACCCTCAAGAAAGGCCTTTAACAAGAACATCTTGGCCAAGTGCTGAGTCATGGGAAAGGTCTGTTTGAGGAAAGGTCAGAAGAGAAACTAGGAAGGAGTATTGAAAGGAATCAGGATAATCACTCAGGGCAAAGCAATGGCTCAGACTGAGACATCCTTTCATGAGAAAGGATTTTTACATCTTGTTTGTGGTATTCAATAAACACTGAGACCATGCTGAGCTTTTCAAGATAGTTTAATGGTTTTTGCTGGCTATCTCCCTATAACTGGTTACAAAATCTCTTCTCCCACCTCCACCTCTCATTTCATTGACTGTGAGAAGAAGTAGCAGACTTAGATGGCCAGGAACATAGGCAGGATGAGTAATCCTGTTAGAATCAGGAGCTTTAAAGTGGAACCCAGGAGCTTCATCTAGAGTCTTGGATACCTCTTTGAATTCCTGGATAACTTTTCTTTGTATGCTGTTGAATCACCAACACTCATGCATACTCAGAGTGTTTCTTAAACCTCCCAGGATGGGACTCAAACTGCAGGTGGCCATGTAGGATCTATCAGCAGCTCCGTTAACCACTGTGTTGCAGGGCTACCCCCATCACCACTATCCTAGATAAATATATCTGTGTTTATTATGTTGCTTTTCCTTTAAGAACTTGAGGTAGGTAACTTTTAAAATAATTATTTATTTGATTTGATTTATCATTATTTTTTAGTTTGCTACAGGGCTTGTGTGCTCACCAGAGAGAGACAGAAAGAGTCAGAAAGCAAGACTTTAGGTATGGGACTTGAACCAGAGTTGACCATGCAGGAGTTTAGTGACTTATTCACCATGCCACCTGCTGACCCCCAGGTAGGTCTTATATACTACATTGTATATGTTATTTTTACAAGTAAAACTGAGGAAAAGGTTTCCATATTCCTAATTCTGAATACATTCTCCCATTAGAATGTATTCTAATATATCTGTTAGACTTCAGGGGTCATCAGAATCTCACCAAGTATTTCCTGGAAATTTGCAACCCACACATACCACCCCAGGGATTCAAAATCATGATTCCTTAGGAGACGCTATGAGTAAAAGTCTCAGGTGATATATTTCTGCAAGTGTCCCATAGACATGAGAGATAGACACTCCGTATAGAAGACACTTTGGATGCCAGTCAGGGTTGTTTCTAGATATGGCGCTGAAAATAATGCACTTTCATGACTTCAATAATGACCACCCAAAGGCTCTCCCACAAATCCTTTCATCTGCTTAGAGGCCACTGCTATTTTGTTTTGCTTGAATTAAATTTTGTCAGTGGGCACCTGCACTTGCAGGAGAGATAGAAAGTGAGGAAGCCAGACTACGCTAAACAAGAGAGATAGAAAGAGAAAGAAACTAAGATAGCACTTCTCCTTGGGAATGCTCACAATGAAATCTCTTCTCTATTCTCCTCTTGGGATTTTGGGCATTCACATACATGCTCCCAGCAGGTGGTGTAGTGTTTAAGGCATTGGATTCTCACATGGTCAACTGAGGTTTGAGTGCCAGACTCAAAAGCTTTAAAGTCATGCTAAGCGCATGTGCATTGTACCCAAAATCCCAAGAGAATGCAGGAGAAGGGATTGTGGCATGGCCATCCCCCCAGGAAATGATTACTCAATCTCTCTTCTCTCCACAAGCACACATGCCCTATGGTAAAAACCTTTAAAAAAATAAACAAACTTTTTTCTTTTTGAAGCAAGGAATGGAAGTGAAGTAGGAGTAAGGTAGGTAGTGAGGTAGGAGCAAAATCAAAGCACAGCACTGAGTCAAGACATGGATTTTATTCATAATTTTAAACATGAACAAGGTCAACAAGAAACAAATTGAAGTCAACTTTGCTGTAAAGATATATTCAGGTAGGCCAGCAGGTGGTGTGGAGATTATGGTGGTTGGATCTCTCATGGATGGCTGCATGGTGCAAGTCTCAGACCCAATGGCTGAAAAAACACACTGGAGTATGTGTACACATGCCCAAAATCCTGAGAAGAGAATAAAGGAGAAAGGATTGTGGCATGGCTCGTCCCCCTGGGGGATTATTTTTCACTTTCCCTCTCTCTCTGTCTCTCTGTCACTAAGCTTAGCACACACATCCTATAACAAAAATTAATTTTATGAAAACAAAACTAATGGCACCATACCTTCACCAAAAATTAAATATCTCTCAGTCAACTCAAAATACTAACACAGGGAACCAGCAGTTAGCGTAATGGCTATGTTGCTGGATTCCCATGTAGTCGACCGCTGTTCGCGTACCGGACCTGGTGGCTTAAAAAAACTCAAGCCGGGCGCACGTGCGTGCGTGCCCAAGATCCCGAGAGGAGAATGGAAGAGAAGGGATTGCGGCGTGACCATCCCGCCTGGGGGGTGATTTCTCACTTTCTGTCTCTCTGTCTGGCAAGCGCATGCACCCTATAGCGAAAAATCTCTCAAAAAAAACCCACTAACATAATCTAACTATATCAATTGTGTATACTGCAAAAATGAATATACTGTATATATTTTTAAACATTTATTTATTTTTTTTATGACAAATAGAAAACCCAAGAAAGAGAGAACTGCCTTTGACAGGGTCTCGTCATCTGAGATTCTCTTCCCCCAACCCTCCAGCCCATTATGTTCCCTTGCACCCATGTACGGGCCAAGTGTGTTTCGAGACCTACCTGGAGACCAAAACCTGTGATCATGTGCCCAAAAATGGAAGACTGGGTTGAAAACTGTGGCACGTATATGCTGTGGAATACTACTGAGCTATAAGGAATGAGACCCTGTTATTTGATTCAAAGTGGATGAATAAAGAAGACTTCAAGTTAAGTGAAATAAGCCAGACCCTAAAAGACACATATTGTGTATCCCCTCTCAATATGTACCTAATGTCTACTCTCTATAGCAGAAGTGGAAAGATGTGAAGATATGATAGTAGGGAGGATATGAGGAGATACTAGAGAGTGTAGGAGGAAGGAGTGGAGGGGCCAGCAGGTGGCGTAGTGGTTATAGCACTGAAATCCCAACCACAGTTTGAGTTCCAGACCTGGTGGCTTGAAAATTGCACTGGGAGGAGCCAGCAGGTGGCACAGATGTTGTGTCATTGGACTCCCATATGGCCAGCCGTGGTTCGGACCTGATGACTAGAAAATCATACCAGGTGCATGTGTGTATGTGCCCAAGGTCCTGGGAAGAGAATGGAGAAGGGATTGAAGTGTGGCTATCCCCCATCTTCCCCTGTGAGATGATTTTCACTTTCCCTCTCAATATCTATCTATGTCACTCTCCAATGAGCACATGCACGCTAAAATGAAAACCTCTAAAAAAAAAAAAAAAAGAGAGAGAGAGAGAGAAGAAAAAGAAACGAAAATTCCACTGCGTGCATGTGTGTGCCTACCCAAAATCAGTGGAGGAAAATGGAGGAGAGGGATTGCAGCATGGCTATCTCACATGGGGGGAGTGATTTCTATTTTCCCTCTCACTGTCTCTCTGTTTCTCTCCCACAAACACACATGCCCGATGGAAAAACCTTTAAAAGGAGAGAAAGTAATGGATGGTAGAGGATAGGTAGGAGAGGCAGAGGAAAGAAATATTGAACAGAGAAAAGAATGTAAAGTTCTCTGTTTAAAAATAGAGAGATGGGACTAGCAATTAGCGTAATGGCTATGTTGCTGGACTCCCATATAGTCGACCACGGTT